GCTCAGACCCCCCACCGCGGCCCCGGCTTCCCTCCCTTGGCCCATGCCTCAGTTTCCCCTGGGATCTGGCAGGACCCACACACAGACCTTCCCCAAATGAGCCACCTGCTCCATCGGGTTTGTCAGCTGCTCACGCTGTTTATTATGCTGGCTTTGGGGCTGCAGGACATGGGCAGCCCTGGGCTCTTCTGCCTGCAGCCTGGCTCACCTCAGCCCAGCCTTGCTCCATTTGGGGAGCATTAACCCTTCCCCTGCTAGGCTAGTATCTGCCTGAGGGCTGTGGGAAAAAGGCTGCACACAGCCTGGAGAGGCTGAAAGAAGTGAGCTGGGAACGATGCACAGCTCTGGCCAACGTGCCTGGGGTTGGCTGAGGATGGGGAGGCAGTGCCCAGCCCTCTTGCCACCGTCCTGCTGCTTGGCGTGGGGACTTTGCGTGGTGTCCCCAGCAGAGCTCAACCTGTGGGCACAGCCCCTCCAGCACAAGCCTTTCCCTGCAACAAGGCTGGGAAGGGACACCTGCTCTCTAAGGACTTGGTCCTGTGGGCAAGCCCATGGCATCCAGGCGCTGAGCTGAGCGCTGAGCAGAGGGGCTGACCCCAGGGCAGGCGAGGAGCTAGGCAATGGGGTGCTGCTGATGGGGGCCACGCCAGCAGCTGGGTATTTGCAACAGGAGGAGGATGGGAGGGACATTTGGGGTGGGGGAGCGGCTCTGGCCAGGCTGCTTCAGCCCCTGCTCCTCTTCTTTTGCCAGGTCAGGGCTGGAAGCACTCTACGGGGTCACTGGAGTCGGGCAGGATATTGCAGTTGATGGGCCAGAGGATGCCGAGGAGGCCGAGGGACTGCTGGCACCGCAGCTCGGCAGCCAGGCACACGGCTCGGCAGGGCTGCAGGACACCCCCATCTGGGGTGCACTTGGGCACGAAGAGGCTGCAGATGAGGAGGCGGAGGTGCTGGTAGCAGGCAAGCTCCATCAGCGTCTGTGGGAGAGTGGCAGTGAGCATGGCACGGTGTGGTGTGGTGCGGGCAGACCCATGTGCAGCCCCCGGGCAACTCACCTGGTAGTCCTGCAGCACCTCAGCGGCTCCCTCCTGGTCTGGGATGGCCAGCCAGATGTTGGGGAAGGAGGTTGCGTTGTAGCCCAGCCCCAGGCACATCTCCACTTCCACGGGCTCACAGACAGACCCTGCCACAGAGCGAGGTGCTTCACTTCTTATAGCAGCAGTGACGCCCACCAGGTATGCCTTGGGCAGATGTTAGGCATGGGGCAGCTGCCAGCGTGTCTCCTGGGTCAGGTGGGCTCAGGAGGGGCTGAGTGCTGAGCGGAGCACCCCGGGGTAGCACTCACCGAAGGCTGGGTAGGAGACTTCAGTGCAGTTCAGCTCATCGGTGCCATCGGGACAGTCGTGCCAGCCATCACACACAGACTCCAGCGCCCGGCACTCACCATTTCCGCAGGAGAACTCTGCGGGGCTGCAGGTCTCTGTAAGATGAGAGGGGCCAGCACAGCAGGGCATGGGCTCGGGCATGGGCACTGGCAGAGAGCAGGCTGGCTGTGGCCCAGGTCATGCCGATGGCGGCTGGCCTCCCTGCTGGCAGTCAGCCTGTTCCCGTGCTGACCACCCCTGTCTCCACTCTTCTTGGTCACTGGCCAGGGGACATCCAGGTGAGTGGTTGCGGAGCACTGCCACCTGGCAGCCACAGCTGATAGGTGACCATCACTGCCCCAGCTTAGGGGGATCCCACAGTCCCTGGGTTTTTTGGGGGCAGCCCTCAGGTGGTGGATTGTGCCTATGTGCAGGTGAGCCCTTCCAGGCCACATCCCTATGGCTAGGATCAATAGGGTTACAGGGTAATTCAGGTGAGAAGGGACCCCAGGGGCCTGTAGCCCAACCTCCTGCTCCAAGCAGGGTCAGCTATGGGGTGAGAGCAGTTTTTTCCAGGGCTTTATCCAGTCTGGCCTTGAAAACCCCCAAGGATGGTGACTGCACAGCCCCTCTGGGCAGCCTGCACCCCTGCTTGGCTACCTACTCTCTGTGGCATTGCGGGCTTGGTAGGTGGCGAAGAACCCGTCGTCTGCTACTCCCTCGTCCGCCACAAAGAGGACGGTCATGACGTGGCGTGAGGAGGTCAGGGTGGGTGGCAGCTGGTGGCCGCAGAACCTGCCGGGGTTGTGGGGTGACCGATGCCGTCAGGGTGGGCAGCAGGACCGACCAGCACCTCCCCAAACCGCCCTCCGGTGGCTCCTCCTCACCAGCCTGCCCCATGCCTCAGTTTCCCCAGCTGAGCCACAGGACCCCAGTGTACCCAGGCTGGTGCAGCAGGGCCAGAGAAACCAGGGGTGTGCCTGTACCTGCCCATGAGGCTGGCGGCCCCCATGCCTGCGCTGTCGTGCACCTCCACGAAGTCGAAGCTGCAGTCCTCATGCGACTCCAGGCTGAAGTTGTGGAAGTGCAGGTCGATGACGTGGCCCACAGGCACTGAGATCTGCCAGAGGCACAGCTGCAGGGCAGGGGGCAGCCAGCGACACCCGTGACGCCGGGCAGGGGCACCCCCAGCTCTCCCTGGTGGGACATTGCCTTCCTCCCTTCCCGCCCTCACCCTCCTCTTGCCTCCATCCCGCTGGCATCCCTTCTCTCACCTGCTGGTGTGGGTATGGCTGGGGGTGGCTTGGGGTGGAGAAGTGCCCTTCCAAGGCGGTCAGTGGCCCCCCGCACTCTGGAGGGACACACAGACATGCAGCTTTACCCCCTGCCCCTCTCCCTTCACCCCATCTCCCCAATCCCCTGCCCCTGCCTCCCACTGCCCATCTCCGTGCCCTCTGGCCGGGTGCCACGGAGCTGTGGGCTGCAGGCAGGGGGCTGGCCCACCTTTGTGTTTCAGGCTGCAGTTGGCCTCATCGCTCTTGTCCGTGCAGTCGTGGAAGCCGTCACAGACGAAACCCAGGTGGAGGCAGAGCCCCTGGTCGCACAAGTGCTCATCCCAGGCACAGCTCTCTGCAGCGCAGGCAGAGATGGCCAGGCTGGCGGTGGTGTCCTGCTGGGCACCCCCCCTGCCCCAGTGCCCCGGGCATTACGGGAGACCCCCTGGCGCTACCCACTGCCTGCCTGCAGCAAGGAGTACTGGCAGTGCCCGGGGGCGGGGGTACTCACTCTCACTGGGGGCCACAGCGTGGTAGCGGGCGCTGAAGCCTGGGGCGCCCACGCTGCTGTCAGAGACAAAGGTGACGCGCAGGTGGTTGGAGTTGGTGTTGAAGGTCGGGGGGGCCACGTTGCCGCAAAACCTGGGGGCACAACAAGGGGCGACACTGCTCGCCCCCGGAGATGCTGCCCCCTCCCCACTGCACCGTCACACTCCCCGGGTGCGAGGGGCCCTACCTGGTCGGGCCCCCCCGAGCCGGAGCAGGATCTGTGCCACTGGCCCCCTGC